AGTTCACTGCCGGGCTCAACGTGTTCAATGCTGCTTCTTTGGTTAATTCATCTGCCTGATCGTTACCATAATTTCCTTTGATCCATGAAGTTTGAATTTTGTAGTTTGGGATTAAAGCAAGAAGAAAATTTTATGTTCAGAAATTGATGGATAGGGAGATTAAGGGATTTTTTATCGCTAAAATAGCTGCTTTGGGGTCAGATTTTCTGGTAAATTCATTGAGATTTTTTAAAATTGCTACTTCAGTCGCTGTTTTTGAGGCTAACAATTCAATCTGGAAAATTCTATTACTATTATGGAGATGACCTTTTCATTTGATGATATTTGAAGGGGCAGTTTGAAAAGAGACTACTGAACTAACCTTTCCTTTCGTTTCTGTTCCATCAGTTTATGCAGTTGGGTATGAACTACTTGAATGGCTTCTGTATGCCTTATTTAATCGCGCATTTTCCTTCTAGCATTTTAATAGCAAACTACTTGGGAAGGTCACGCCGAGCCTTTCCTTTCTAACTGTTGATTTTTTTGCGAGCCTACTGCAAGAACCGACCCATCACAGTGAAACAAGCAGGAAGTAATATTCAATCCGTGTTTTCGCTGAGTCAGTTTCGCATTCACCTTCTCTAATTATTAATGGATGGTTTGAGGTGTAATGAGAAGCACAGACAACAATAAGAATAGGCGTGATTCAGGTTACAGGGAAGTAGAAATGAAGATGTTTTATTAGATGTTGTAATCTTAAGATTTCCGTGTATTCTTACTGGAATGTAAATTTCTTTTAAAGAAATAATATTGAGATAGTTACCTGTAGTTTGTTTATGCATGACTACTTTCATTTGTTATGTTCTTAATTAAACCTCATCTTTTAGAAATTATTCCCATAATTTTCCTCTCTTGATTTTTGAACAATAAAATGAGAGTAGGAAAATCAGAAAGTTTCAGAATTTTAAATTACGTCCAAAGGGGCGTTTTTTTAACGTTTCGTGTGTTACCTTTATTTACTAAATATAATTTTTTTTTGACTTAACCCATTAACCGCCAAAACTGCAAGGAATGTTTCTTTTCTCATGAAAATAATAACAAATATTAAATTAAGCATTTATAACATAAATTTACATTGAAAATAAAATTTAAAAAAAAAAATGCTCTTACCTGTGGAAAAAGCGAGTGTTGTTGCGTTCGCGCAACGTCAGCGGAATAAGACTACGGATGTTTAGTGAGTAGGATTGTACTCGTGTGATGTTTCTTTTGAGTGGAGAGCAGGATTACTTTTTAACTGTATAACGTTTTATAAATCTACAAATCACTTTACTTGTAATTAATTTAATATTAAAATATACATTGTATTTCTTTTACAAATACAGATTATTTCATTTGAAAGATTCAGGCATGAAAAGCTTGATTACAATCATGAAAGCTACATTACATACTTCGCGTCTATAAATAGTCTGGCTATGGTACTCTTTACAACAAAGTCTTTTGTTATCAACGGACTTTACGATACAATGTCTACCATCTCCATGCAATGGTTTTTGAATGCTGAATTTACTTGGTCTTCCTGTTGCTGATCTATTGCTGGCTAATTCTACACTCTTAATAGGAGTTTGCAAAAGGAATAATGCATTCTCGAGTCTGAAATCTAAAAGAGACTTTATATTTCCAGTAGCAAAAAGTGGTGATATTAAAAGTGGTCTCACCTCATATAATTTATCAGTATTTTTCATATAATTTATCATATAATATCTCATATATTCATATAATATCTCATATAATTTATCAGTCATTTTGACTACTGTCAAATGCAAATTCTGCTTCATATTCCTGTACTGCAAACGTGATATCGATTCTTGTACAACAGGAACAGAAATGTCCTTATCAAAAGACCAATACATTTTTTCTTGAGGTAAAGAATGATATCCTGTAAGCAATAATATTCCAATAAATATTCTCATATAGGCTTGAGATGCAATAAATTCTGTTTTTTTTTTTTTTTTTTTTTTTTTTTTTTTTTTTGGCTGAGCGTATATATTTGTCTGTTCACCGAGAAGAGAGTAAATGTCTAAACCAAAAAGAAAATCGAAAATCTGTGCACTAGTTTTACCTTGTGTTTTTTCTTTTATAATTTCTCTTCTATCTCTTCCTTCGTGTTCTTCCTGAGACATAACTAACAGTTCCTTTTTTATCCACTTCAAAATTTCAGTCTTCTGCTTTTTAAACTTTTTAGTATGACTATAACTGCTTTTAGAAGGCTGAAACTTACTTCTTACGTGAATTTCAACTTCCTCAGCAGTATCATTTGATAAAATATCATTATCTTATTTAAAACACCGCCATTCCTTTCTTCTTCGTCACTAGCCTCTGCAATTTCTGGGGGAACAACAACAATGTCAGTTTCATTCTGGTCATTATTAACATTATCATCATCTGTTTCTTCATCAAAAAATTTTTGAAGGGCTTCTTCTAATGTAAGATACCTCGTTCTAGGCATTTTAAAGCAACCAGAAAATGAATCCAGAAACATCGAAAAGGAATGAATGATAAAAGGAGATTGACTACCCGTTTTTCCTGCTGACGTTGCGTCAACGCAACACCTGTCTTTCCCTTCCTTGCCAACACAAATATAAATATGTGACTGATGTAATGATCTAATAAACGGTGACCTTAACTAAAAATAGATCACTCTTAAAGACGGCGATTCTTTCGTTAAATATTTTCAGCAAAAATACCCGGTCGAAAATTTTGCTTAAAATATGAGATTAATTATTATAAACAAAATGATTGTTGAAGGCAAATATCTTTTTTCCAGAAATAATCTTCATAATATTCCCTACACAAAATCATATGCTGGTATAAAATATCTTAAGTAGTTATATTTATATACGCATTTATTTTGACCGTTGCGTCAACGCAACACCAGCGGCTAATGGGTTAAACCATAAAATTCAGTTGAACAGCAATGTCGCAAAATAAAATTTGTATATCTTTAGAAATAAAATAACCATATCTTTAGAATTTCCGATACATAGTTCCGAGCGCTGGAGATAAAAATGTTTTCTTCCCCCCCCCAGTAGAGTGTTGCCATTGTTCGCTTTCAAATCGTTGAGTTTGTTAATAAAAAATTCGCTAAAGTTTTACAAAATATGAAATCGATAATAAAACAAATTTCAAGTGTGGGTTTCCAGATGCGTATACTCGCAGCAGGACATTCAGTTTTAATACACCCATGAAATACAGGTACGAACACCTCTCGACGAGTGGCACGAGTACTGGAGTTATTTCCAGATGACCATTGAAAATTCGTGACCGTGATTTCTAATGAAACTTGCCGGTTTCATTTCGCCACTCGTTGGAAGCATCGATGGTACCCTTCCCGGTGGTCTGGGTTTTATAACTTTTCCTATTTACATTTCACACTTTAGTCACTGCTCACATGACATCTGGAACTTGCCAGATATGTCAGGAACAGATGAAAGATATGATGCTGATTTCAACCTCGTTCAGCTTTCAAGCTTTAGTTGCGTATTCTGACGTTCAGCAGGGATTTATCCTGCTCTTACCAGAGCTTATCACGGAATCCCACTAGGGGCCTCACACATAACGGTACTTCATAATTGTTTCATCATAAAGATGTGAACACACGAGATTAATAAAATGAGACATGTTGTCTCTGTAGACTCACTGGCAGTGGGATGAGCTGAAGTCCAATCAGGAGCGAGAATATAGTCCTTTGAATCCTACTACGCAAATGTCAATAGTAAAGACCTGAGTATACTTTTCAATACAGTTAATTTGAGTGACATACTCCTAGTATGCGGGCTAGGCGGAACGCTGTCTGGTGCCGATGTCATGGCTCTGCATTTTCTGACTTTCGTGAAGAAATGCTGCGTAGGGCCTGATATTTCTGTCCTCGTTGAGTTATTTCATAGACAAAAATGTCTGAAAGGCAAGCTGACGTATTTTCACTGGCATTTGTCCATGTTGGAGAGGCATATGTAAAATATGGGCCGAATAACAGCAAGGCAAAAATGATTTTTTCGATTTAGCGTCAGTAGTTGTGTAGGGATCTTAAGTTTTACTAACGTTTATTTTATTTTAAATCTTTACTATCACTTCTTATTTTCTACTTCCGGCCAGAATTAAAAGCTTTAACTTATTTATGCAAATTTGTCTGGCGAACGCCAAGTACTTAAGTTGTGGCTTTTTGCCAAGCAAGAGAGAGGAAGGAGTTAGTAGCAGCAGGCCGCTTGCCTTAGCAGTTTTACTCGGTTGCTGGTTGCCTTCCAGGCCAGAGGTTTAATCCTCTTAATAATTTTAAACGTATTGTAGTGTTAACAGTTCTCTCTGTACTACATACGGCTTCCTGTTAATATACGGCCAATCTTCCACGTAGGCCCTTGTTTATTATTCCAAAGTTAAGTTAGAGTTTAGTTAATATTTTTATATTCTTACGTTCAGACCACAAGTGGTTGGTCGCTGTATTCCGAAGTACGGAAATCATTGTAAAGAGTGAAAAATAAAGGGTTTCGTATACCCTTCCTGTGTATCTTGTCTACTTCCCACAGTTATTGAACATAGCTTTAGTAAGCTCCCTGTTCCGAGTCAGGTTCTTGAATGTTCCCGAAGCAAGTAAGGAGAAACACTGAACCTGATAGTTGATCTTTAAGGACGGGGGTATAGTCTCACACCAACTTCCCAGGCCTTGCTACGAGCTCGTCTGATGTGCGTTCGTCTGTTTCGATAGCTGCAGGTAAAATATATTTTTACCACTGAGTGCTTTTGACAACTTTAAAGGATTACAACATGCATTAATGACGTATGAGCAATGCTACATTCAAAAAGTGTCCTGTCATTAATGGCAGTTCAAAATGTATGTACGCACTAGCTCATAATTGATATTATCTCTGATGATACTAGCCATTCTACGAAAGTAAAATTAAATCAGTTCTAGGTATTACTGCAACCGTTTTCTACCTGTGCTTTAAATTGATTTTCTTTTCTTTTAGGTTCAGGATTTGGAGTTGTAGTGACTCTTGTGCCTGTGATTATCAATCAGTATTTTGTAAAGTATCGTGCTACTGCCATTGGTATTGCATTTTCTGGTGGAACACTCAGTTCATTTGTTTTCCCAGTGGTTATGGAATGGATGTTAGAAAATTATAGCTTAAACGGCAGCTTTCTCTTACTCGGTGGTGTTGTTATGAACATGTTAGTTGCCTCTTCTTTGTTACGAGAACCTCCATGGATAAAAAAGCCAAAGCAGACGAAAAATGCACTTTTAGAAGATGCATCTGAAGCCAAAGATTCTGGGGTATCGACTTCTGCTGACCTTGCTGCTGATGCGAAGATGATGGAAAGATTAGATAATTTTTCCTCTGCTAAGAGCGACGGCGAAAGAAAAATTTCTGAAATAACTCCTAATGGGGAATCAAAACATAATGATAGTCTTACCGACGAACAGCTTGATAATGAGTTATCAGCTGCTGAAGAAAAACAAGACGAAAGTCTAAATTTGGACACTATTTACAGCAATAATGATAGCGTTTTATTTGGTGGCTCTAACCTCAAGATTGACACAGTTGGTAATGCCACTAAATATGAAAAATGTGATATTGCGTGTAAAAATGAAGTTGAAGTCAAAGACCCGCTTCTTAGTTGCAATCCGGTATTTGTGGTGCCAAAGAAAGATACAGAGAATCTCGAAAAAAATTCTGATATGAAAAGCAATGCTCGTCATTCGTTGACAGAAATCTTAAAAGAACCCATGTTCCATTTGATAACTTTTACCATGAATATCTTCTTTTTAGGAATTCATTCTTTCTTCATGGTCATTGTAGATTTCGCCAAAGACAAAGGTATTCCTGAAGCTCAAGGAATATACATTATTTCCATGTTTTCTCTTACAGATCTGGTTGGAAGAGCTTGTTTAGGCTGGGTCACAGATCGCAACTATATTAAAAGGAAGAATATGGTAATATTAAATTTAATTGTGATTGGTATCATCAATCAGTTGTACCCAGTTTTAAATAGTTTACAACATATATTGGTAGTTTCTGCTTTTCACGGAATGGCTGTGGGATGTACAATCAGCTTATTTTTTGTACTGCATGCGGAATACATGGGCTTGAAAAGGCTGACTTTAGTGCTGGGTCTCTGCAGCTTCATTAATGGACTATTAACCTTCATAAGGCCTGCTATGATAGGTAAGTTCAAAATACTTTTACTCTCATTTCAGACTGCAGTAGAATGCAAACTGTCCAAACTTGCTGGGACTTAACTAGTTTCATAGTCCACCATCTCGATAAATGTTGCAATTTTCATCGTATATACTAAATTTCAGAAGTGTACTAGGCATCCCTTTTGTCTTGTTAAATAAGACCAACTTGCAAAAAGTGCTGATACTTTATGCAAGTTGCCCACACCGATTGGACCAGCCACATATGACCCCAATTTGTCTTTATGTTATCGCCCATCCAGGGACATAACATATCTTCAGTATCTGTTTGCAGCACTCTATGTTCCTGTCATTGTGGATGCAGTAGTCTTCCTTGTACTACTAAGGTATCCTTCCTTGAATCAATCAAGGTACAGTTTATTCTAAATTAATTTTATTCATTCATTTCTTTCTTATTTTAATGAAAAACATATCACACCCCCCAAAAAAAATATATATCTTTTCGTACAGCCACATTATAAATCTTTTTAGACATATCATTAGAAATGTTCTCTAGCAACTTCACAGTTACTAATTCAGAAGTCAAACAACAAAAATCAGCATTATATTAACAAAATTTTCACAGGACTAGTTTCGATGGTTTAACCGAACCACCATCTTCAGCTGCAAAACCGAAATGAACAAGATAGGAAATAATGATTAGATAAGATAAGAAAGCCTGGACAAGAATAAGCAAGTGGCGCCATCTGTTGGTGAAACCAGAACAAAATATAATTTCTTTAAAGGCCGAAGGCAAATTTGGATTGGAATTAGGATCGTTAACTAGAACAGAAAGATTTTTATGAATGTGAAATGCCTCTAGAAAATCCAGTTCTCCAATGGAAGATGTTTTTTGAATAATTTTGGCAGCAAAAAAAACTGAAAGTGTGGTTTTCGGACCAACAATGTTGAGCAACAGAAGACTTCTGTGTTTCCTTTTTTCTAACATATGCCTCATGTTCCTTGACGAGAAATTTTAAGGCTCTCTTAGTTTGGCCAATGTAAATTAAACCACGCTGGCAAGGAATCCTATAAATACCCCAGGAATTCATATCCGGAATGGGGTCCTTGAGTATGGAACTCGGAATTTTATTGATGGGAGAATAAACAACCCGAAAGTTAAATTTCTGCAAAATATGTGCAACTTTATAGCTAATTGATGGAAAGAAGGGAATGACAAGAGAATTTTTATAATCTCCTAAAACAAGAGTGTGCCTTTTTGTGTGTTGAGATGAGAATTTTTTAACTGCTTGATTAATAATGTTGGGTGAAAAGCCCCTGTCAATAGCTATTGCTTTTAAATAATTTAGTTCTTCATCAAGGGCTAGTTTGGAGGAGCAAACTTGAAGAGCACGGAAAACATAGGAATAAAATGAAGCTAACTTTTGTTTAGTCGGATGACATGATTTAAAGTGTGGTGGAAGGCAAACCGATGAAGGTTTATGGTAAACCGTAGTACTGAAGTTGGATGTGTTACGTGTGACCAGAATGTCGAGAAACGGAAGAGAATTGCAAGTCTCAAGTTCAAAAGTGAACTGAATAGCAGGATCAATAGAATTCATTGTTGAAAGAACTTTATTTAAATCATCTTTATTACCTTGAAACTGAGTAAAAGTATTCTGGTCACACGTAACACATCCAACTTCAGTACTACGGTTTACCGTAAACCTTCATCAGTTTGCCTTCCACCACAAATCATGTCATCCGACTAAACAAAAGTTAGCTTCATTTTATTCCTATGTTTTCCGTGCTCTTCAAGTTTGCTCCTCCAAACTAGCCCTTGATGAAGAACTAAATTATTTAAAAGCAATAGCTATTGACAGGGGCTTTTCACCCAACATTATTAATCAAGCAGTTAAAAAATTCTCATCTCAACACACAAAAAGGCACACTCTTGTTTTAGGAGATTATAAAAATTCTCTTGTCATTCCCTTCTTTCCATCAATTAGCTATAAAGTTGCACATATTTTGCAGAAATTTAATTCTTTCGGGTTGTTTATTTCTCCCATCAATAAAATTCCGAGTTCCATACTCAAGGACCCCATTCCGGATATGAATTCCTGGGGTATTTATAGGATTCCTTGCCAGTGTGGTTTAATTTACATTGGCCAAACTAAGAGAGCCTTAAAATTTCGCGTCAAGGAACATGAGGCATATGTTAGAAAAAAGGAAACACAGAAGTCTTCTGTTGCTCAACATTATTGCTCAACATGGTCTGAAAACCACACTTTCAGTTTTTCTGCTGCCAAAATTATTCAAAAACATCTTCCATTGGAAAACTGGATTTTCTAGAGGCATTTCACATTCATAAAAATCTTTCTGTTCTAGTTAACGATCCTAATTCCAATCCAAATTTGCCTTCGGCCTTTAAAGAAATTATGTTTTAGTTCTGGTTTCACCAACAGATGGCGCCACTTGCTTATTCTTGTCCAGGCTTTCTTATCTTATCTAATCATTATTTCCTATCTTGTTCATTTGTGGTTTTGCAGCTGAAGATGGTGGTTCGGTAAAACCATCGAAACTAGTCCTGTGAAAATTTTGTTAATATAATGCTGATTTTTGTTTTGACTTCTGAATTAGTATTTATTCGGCGTGTTATTGTGTCTTAATTAACTTCACAGTTATTTCTAAATATTTGATAGGTCTGCCTGTATCACTGTCGTATCAGTCATTTATCTTCTCTTTAATTTATTCTTCTAAATTCTGGTTTGATCCCGAAAATAAAATTTTCTGATAATAGGGGTTTGGATAATCTGCATTGTACTGTATTTATTTCATTTGTCAATTGTATGATACATCTGATACTGACATTTTACAAAGAGTGTTATTATTCTGAAAGCACCTGGCTAATTGGAAAATTATCTAGCACTTTCCAACCAGCCTCATATACAGTGGGTAAAAAAACAATTTTCACATAAGAAAGCCTTGTATCCTTGTATTATACAGCCAAATTTTGTATATTTTTCCCCAAGAAATCATTCACACCACATATAACAATGAATTTATATATGTCGCAGGGCAAATGTAAAAAATCTGACATTTTACAAAGAGTGTTATTATTCTGAATGCACCTGGCTAATTGGAAAATTATCTAGCACTTTCCAACCAGCCTCATATACAGTGGGTAAAAAAAAAGTATTGGCAATTACCTATAATTGGTCATATTAAACATAGGAAAAGTTTGACAATTTTAGTTGGACATAATGAACACAGGAGGTAATAAACACACAAATCTAATGAAACTTTCATTTTAATACACCTTTTACACAAAATATACAACAAAACCATAAATTTGCATGTGAAAAAAGTACTGGCAATATCATACAGCAAAATGTGGGAACAAAATTTAATACTTGATATTCATTAATAATGCATTTCTAACAGCTTCTAATCTATTTCTCATAGAGAAAACCAAAAGTCTTGGTTGTACTATTGGGAATTTTGTGCCATTCTTGCAGGAGTATATGCTTAAGTTCATCTCTACGCAAAATTTTACGTTTCCTGACTTCTAGGTTCTATTTATGTCATAAATTTTCAATTGCATTTACGTCAGGCAGTTGGGGCAATATCTTTAAATGGCGAGAAGCATTATAGAGTAATCACTCCCAAGTGAGTTTTGCTGTATGCTAAGGCTAATTGTCCTGCTGAAACACAAATAATGTTCCTAAGCTAAGTTTTGGGGCACTGTAAGCACATGATGTCTATATACGTACATGCTGTCATAATACCATCAAAATTGAAGCACTGGTTACCAACTCCATTTGTTGCTATACAGCCCCAAACTATGACACTCACTCCAACATATTTCACAATTGGTATTAAATGTTGTTTTTCCAGTTCGATGTTTGGCTTTCTCTGAACATATTGTTGTCCATCACTCCCAAAAATGTTAAATTTAGATTTTTTGGAGAAAATAACTGTGTTCTAAAATTCGTCTAATAAATTAATATGACATTTTGCGAAATCTAATTTTTTTCTCCTGTTTATTTCTGAAATGAAAGGTTTCTTTTTAGCTGCCCTTTCATAATAACTTCCTTCATGTAAAACATTTCATATAGTCTTGTACATTAAAGTTTTATGTGAAGTATTAGCAACATCTTTGGCTAACTGGGGTGCACTTATTTTAGGGTTTTTAACTTCTTTGCCACATTTTTCCCTTGCAGAAAGTATTCCAGGACATCCACTTCTAATCTTATCTCTGTTGATCCTGTCTCGTTGAATTTTTCTACAACGGTTCTAATTTATGTTCAGTTGTATTCCTATAGCATGATATGTTAAACCCTCATTTCTGAGTTGAATAATTATGTTTTTAACATTAACATCCAATTTGTTTGGCTTCGAGACATTTTACCACAGTATTAGCAAAATAATATTTTAAAAGTTTTGAAGCACTGCAGTCTTTATAATAATACGATTTCTTATCAGTTTAAACACGCCACCTCAACATAAAATTTGCATAACAGTTAGAACTTTGCCAATACTTTTTGTCATGCAAATTTCTATTGTATACACTGAAGTGACAAAAGTCATGGGATAGCAATATGCAAATATACAGATGGCAGTAGTATCGCTTAGAAAATGTATAAATGTGAAGTGCTTTGGCAGGGCTTTCATTTGTGTTCAAGTTATTGATGTGAAGAGGCTTTGACGTGATTATGGCCGCACGACGAGAATTAAAACTTTGAACGCAGAATGGTAGTTGGAGCTAGACGTATGGGTCATTCCATTTCAGATATCGTTAAGGGAATTCAACATTCCGAGATCCACAGTGTCAAGAGTGTGCCGAGAGTATCTAATTTCAGGCATAACATCCCACCATGGACAGCGCAGTGGCCGACCATCTGCACTTAACGACCGAGACCAATGACGTCTGCGTAGAGTTGTCAATGTTGACAGACAAGCAACACTGCGTCAAATAACCACAGAAATCAATGTGGAACATACGAGGGACGTGTCCGATAGGACAGTGCGGCGAAATTGGTCTTCCTT